TCCTGAGGAAGGAGTGGTGGTGTTTCTGCCACACCCTCATGCTGAATCAGGCACGCTTCCTCACCTCCACTCCCAGCTCAGGTGGCTGCGGGGAGGTGACTGTTTCTCACTCTTGTGACCTGGATCGTACATTGTGTAACAGGCAACAGGCATGTCTGTTGGTTTCTGAGCGGCTGAAATTGAGGTCCCTCACACCCTCAGACCCATTCCCTCCGCCCTAGCACTAGCACTGAGTCTCCACAGGAGGGCTGCTGCTGTGGCTCCCAAGTGGTCCCTGCTGAGCTCTGGGATAGCCCTGGGCAAAGGTCTCTTACTGACTCAAGTTCCTTCCCTGACCTTCAGGTCCCCACCTGTGGAGAAGAGCGCGCTCCCAAACTCGGCTGGCCTCAGTTTAATGGCACAACCCGTACACCCCATCTCACAAGAGCGTGGGGAGGACTGACTTCTGCCTTGTCTGGACCATCACCGATCCCAAGTTCTCCATCACAGGACATTAGGTCTCCCTCCCATGGGACAGAAACAGCCCGTTTTGTAGAGCTGTCTGGTTTTTCATTTTGTATTCAATCTACACTTGAACTTCAAGCTCTGAAATAGATTGGACCCTAATCCTCCCGCGGATGACTATAATTCTACCCTCCCATTGTCATTCCAACACCAGGATCAGGTCCTTCAGCATCCATGTGAGATGCGGCTGAGGGTATGATAATCCAATATCTTGCTGTTTGAAAAACAGGCAATGGCTCCCTGCCATCCACACGATCCATTTGTATTTTCCAGCCTGCCATTTACTTGTCCGATAACCTTATTTTTCACTACTCAACTGCCTCTCTCCACTCTGCCTAGGCAGATCTTATTCTCTCTTTAATCTAAAATCCTTAGTAGCATTACTTCCTAAAGCTAGAATGTCTCTCATACACCGCTCCACCTTTTGTGACATTCTGAAAATGTGACTTTCATGCTCACCAAGTGGCTACGATCTTTGGTCAGAGTATGTGTTCCCAATGAAAATATTTGCTATGAGCTGTTTTAAAATGTCTTTTCTTCAAATGCACAGACTGGCTGAGCGCTCCTGGAAGCCCAGGGTGCCCCATGTCATGCCCCAGTCTCCCTCTACTGCGAGTCCTTCCTTTTGAAGGGCACGTGGACGCTGTTATCCCCTGGTCCTATATGGCACCCTTTGAGGATGAGACTGCAACTTCTAAACACTCCACATCTCGTGCAAACAACACCTAGCTCTCTAGCGTATAGTGCCAGAAACACCAATGAATACACCAAGATTGAGACGTAAAAGACCCACGGTAGGTGGAATCTCGTGGTTCCTCTAGTGCGGCATGAGG